AAGAGGCTCTCATGATATAGTGTAGAATTAAATATAATTGTTTCCAATGAAATTAAGATGTTGAATGATTAAGGAAATCTCATGAAACAAAATCAATTTTTTAGAGCATATAAGTTCTTGTAAATTCCAAAACCTGTTATTCGATTTTTCTGATTATATATATATACTAGAAGGGCACTCGCGTAATGTAGCGAGATAAATCTTCATTTAAATTTTAATGTTTAATTTTTATTATTGGTTTTGAGAAAGCGATAATGCTTTTATTTTTKAATGAAATATAAATTTAAAGATAATATAAAAAATTTAAAAAAATTGACATTAGTATTAAATTAACTATTTAATAGTTTTTTTTTTTGGTATAACTTCTTTAATTAGATTTTTTATTTTAATTTAATTTATAATTTTTATTTAAGATAATAATTAAACATTCGGTTAGAAACYCGATAATTATTCTAATTATGTTTTAAATTTTTTATATTTTAAAATGAGATGTTTATCTTCTATTTGATTATGTTTATCCGTAGTTAGTTACACGAATTCAAACATTGAGCTTTAATAAATAGTATTTAATGCATAATTTGTTTGTAATCTTAAATTTTAAGTAATATGCATCAATATACAATACTTTATACATAAAAAATGGTTTTTAAGAGGTTTTGTCAAATGTTTTATAATATAGTATATATATATATATAGAGAGAGAGAGAGAGAGATTAATAGTATAATATATATATATATATACATAACTACTAAGGGTCCGTTTGATTTACATGATTGTTTTTATGGAAGGATTTGGATTGTAATGGATTTGAAATCATTCGTGTATTTGGTTTGTAGAATTTGGAAAGAAATTGGATTACATTATTCATTAAAAAATTATAAAAATAATTAAATTACATTTTTATTAATCCATTATTACAAAACAAATGTTTTTAACATTTTTAGAACCTTCTTTGCATATAATCCTATGAAAAAGCCGTGAAATCCCAAGCACCTGCTAAGGATT